CCAGAGTCACAAATGTTAGTGATGTCTAAGGCAAATTTGCCTTAATTACATTTTATCAAGGGATAATTTAGTATGACTGAACCAAATCAAATTTCATCTATTAAAAAAAAATCTATCAGGAGTGAGGACAGAAATATTACAAGGATAGATCTACAAGAAGACACAGATGGGCTTCCCCACGAGATGAAATTTATGTAATAGGATGCAGTGTAATTTTCCAGTCTAGAATTGATTGGAGGTATTGGCTCCAATGACACCAAATCAACACATCTCTCCTACTTATCTGTGCCAATGATTTATTCAATCTGACTGGCCTTAGAAATGACCCTCTTGTGTCACCTGCTAAAGGATATCTGATCTCTCATGACCTTTGCCTGTGACTGATTTTAGCAGATTGGAACACTCAGGTGGTATCCTTGATGAATACCCCCAGTGGTGGCCTACAAGTGGCTCAGGGAAAGCAATTGTATTAATGTATTATAGTAATTTATTGGCAGTTTTGTGTGATAGCAGATTTACTGAAATAAGGCCTGCCAGAAAGATCAGGTTACAGCAGGAATACATGATTTCCCAACCATCCATAAAATATAAATCAAACGCCTTTTCTGTCCACTGTCAGCCACCTCCACCCACTCCTTGTCCTCAATCCTCAGATAAATTGAAGCACATGCCACAATTTGCAGGGGGAAAATCAAACTCAATTTCGCAGTACAATGAAGTGAGTTTTGGTCTCGTCATGTCCACTGACATAATGATCCCTCAAAGATTGAAAAGATCAGCATGCTCTTGGTTTTTGCTCTCGTAAATATATACGTGTAGAAATGCAATGTGTAAATGGAGAACAATCTAGCACTTATGCAGCTTTGTAAAGTTGCAAGAGCTCTAGGGGGCTAATGTTATAAAAGAGTGCTCTGATGTAAAAGTCACTATTTAAGAGGTCACATTTTCTTTCCCTTTAGAATTACAGCCCTGGAAGACAAATGGTCTTCTAACCCAGGTTCATTTAAAGTGCAGCTGATCATTTCACAGCTAAAAGGAATTTTCACTAGTAAAGAAAAAAAAAAATACCCTATCTTGGCCCTTTGTAGAATTTATGTCAGATCTATAATGCAATAAGCCCAACACTCTATCAAACATTTTCTATTTAACCTGAAAGGGACTAAGCCAAATCACTTATATGTCCACGTTTGTGATTTGCAAAGTGTAGTGATTGCAGTCTCCGTGAAATGTGTAAAGACCACACAGTTATGCACATCCATAGATAAAGCATTAAAAAATGAAACCGCTTATTATAAGATGATGATGAAATTGTAAGAAACACCATAAATATCCTAGAGTCTAGTAGGCTAAATTTTAAACTCAGGAGGTGGAAGAGGAAAAAAAAATGAATGAATGAATTTGTTTTCAGGTAGGCAGAATTTTAGCTGTTTTGACAACAGAATAGCTTTCTAATGACGACTTACTATAGAAATACTGCAAAATGCTCTACAACCCCATGGAGATTGTTACTGCATAATATGTGTTGCCCTATACCTCATATGACACAGCTGCAAACATTGCTCTGAGTGCCTTACTGGGGGGTAAATTGAGGCACAGAACGAAGATGCTGCCTATGCAAATCCACATGCAGGAATTTTGAGTCCAGAAAGGGTTTCTTTCATTGATCTTAAGCTTTCAAAGCAGAAGTTTCTTATTTAGCATGATCTTTAAAAATTAGAGCAATGCCTCACATTACCATATTCTAAAGTAATTACTTTCAGTAAGTAAAGATAAATTCATTACTAATTATGCAGTCCTTTCTTGCAAAATTCAGACTAAAATTATTTGAGGTATTTTTTTTTTTTAAGCCGACAAGAGAATGACTTTACTTCATCAATCAGTTTGACTAAAGTAATGATTTTCTTAGAATTAAAACTTGTTGAAAGCTCTGAATATTTCATCTTTTAGGCTAAGAAGCATGTAGTTAATGTCACAGTTAATACATTTGTCAGTCTGCTAATTTTCTTTTTCTATTAGAATAAGTAAACATCAGCCCTTTTTAAAAAGCATACTATTTACCATGTGTCAGAAGCAATGTAGGGAGAACTTATTAGAAAATCATGAGGTAAGACATTATGAAATGAACAGGAATTACAAGGAGACAATAAAGGAGAAACACGAAAGGGAAGGCATTTAATAATTCTAAAGTGATGGTGCGGTATGCCTCAAGTTGAGTGGGGGAGGGTGGTATTTAAAAGGGAGCTACGAAAAATATAATAAAATCAACCCAGAGCTATTGGAAAATATGTAAGAAGAAATGGCTTAGGAGAAATAGTTCAAATAAAAACAAGAGTGGTAGTAAAACAAAAGAAGGCTCTTAATGCATACAATGAAAATAAAATGAGATTTTGGTTGCTTGACATTAGATCAGAGAATGCTTCTTCCGATATGCTTATTATTTGATGGAGTAGGTGCAGAGACAACACAACTAACTCCGCTTCCCTTCTCTGAAGGACATGATCCACTCATTTATGCTACCTTGTGTCAGAGTTCGTTTAAGGCAGCATTGGTATTATGTATTTAGAAGACAATAACAGCTAGTAAAAAAAAAAAATGCCAGCTCTTTGTTCCATCCATCAGATGTTCTTTCTAAATTGTAGTTCTTTTTGATTATTTTGTTATCATACAGCTCTAGGACATAGGTTGATTTCCAAACCTCGTGTTCCAAACGGAACATCACTGCGCTAGTAAATTTTTTCATTTAAAATAGCCTCTAGAATATCATTTTCAGTTTTTTTCCATATATAACATAGTCTAAAAAAAAAAGCTTTTACTTCCAAGCAGAGAGAATAGTTCACAATATAAAGTGTTACAGCACTTTAGTTTCTTGATGCTATAAAATTGATCTTTTTGAGTATAGAATAGTTAAGCCTCTTACCTTTCCTCATTAAAAATGTAATTGAAGAAGGCTGGTGAGGAAATGGTATTCTTCAACTCAGATGTTTTTCATTTTTTTCTTTTATCGATTTTGGAATGATTTAATCATTAAGTAAGATATACACTAAGAGGCATGAATGGGTTTTGAATATTTGAGAACTCATGCTTTCTAAAGTTAAAAAAATGGTGGGGGGTACATCACTTACTAGCTAAGCATACTTAAATAAGCTACTCATATTCTCTACGTCTGTTTCCTTATCCATAAAATGGGGTTAAGACTAGGCATTACCTTACAACGTTTTGAGAATCAAGTGAGATATTATAAGCCTTCTTTAATGAATACGTACTATAGGCATGTTCATTAAAAATTCATTAAAATTTAGTTATTATTAGCAGTTGCAATTAACCTGTCACTATCCTGAATATGTCTCCTTTAAGGTCTGTTTGTTTGGTTGAGATTGCAGTGGGGAATCAACTGCAGCCAGGAATCCCCAGGCAGCACTCTCTTGACACAGGAATTTCATTAAATGAATTCTCTTGCTTCAAATCATCTCTATGTCAGTTATCAAAGACCTCATAGTTCTGGGACAATTTAAATAGCAGATCTTTGCCATGACAAGTGTGTGGAGTGTGTATATGTGGGAGGCTGGAGAGAGGGGCTTGGGCAGTACAGACCTGCTCTAAGTCCTAGCATGGGCTTTGCTGGAGTGAGAAAGGCTATCTTCTGTGGAATGAAGTCATGACCTGTGCTGAGCCTGAGAGTCAGAGAAGACCCAACCAATGGAATCCCAAATGCCTCCATGGTCCTCCTAGGGCTAGTAGCTGAGCACCCATACTGCACACCACATAAACGTTAAGAACATCAGAGGTGACCTACACAACTCAACTAATATGATGCCAGGAACTAGATATATTCTCAATATAAAAATAATTAATATGCATACTTCATAGACGATCTTATTTTCCTAGTTTTCATACTCATCATGAGGCTTGTGTACTAATGCAATGACAGAAATTGCTGTAGGTATGGATCTGGTAAAAGAAAATTACTCAAAGGTATTCGTACAATGTAGATTAATCCAGTCCAGCTGCCTGAGTTTATTAAGGGTGCCATCTCTGGTTACTTAGAATTGCTGAACTTTACTATCTTATGTCTGATATACTGAGGTTATTTAGAATTATTCTAATATTTCAAATAATGTTAAGAACTACATATTTCTTTATCTCTATTTACCTACTTATCTATCTATCATTCATTCTGTTTCTTCTTCTTTTCTTCTTCTTTTCCTCTTCCTCCTCTTTCTTCTTCTTTCCTCTTTCTCTGTTTCTGTCTCTGTCTCTCTCTCTCTCTCTCTTTCCCTCCCTCCCTGGCTCCCTCCCCAATCCATAACAAAAACAAAATGGACCTCAGGCTCAGCCTTTTTGGATACCAGCTGGGGTAATAAAATTAGCACTGCATTGGGAATCCGGGGCTCTGGTTCTCATCCCTGCCACTTGATTTTCTTAGAAAGGCATCACAGATATGTCATTTCCTATCCATCTAAATTTTGGGTTCTTCATTTCTAAAACTAGGAATTTGGTCTCAACCCTGGTTCTGGCATTTCTTTCTGGCCCTGGTACTCTGAAATAAGTAAGAACCCCTGGGAGGTGACTATTGAAAGGCACAAAGCATAATTATGAGATTAAATGCATTTCTTTAAGAAGTGGTTTTGCAGAGTTTAACTCTAGTCTTGGAATCTAGCTTTAAATCTTAGGACCCATGTTGCAGAATGAAATCAGGGCATCAGGAATGTTTCCAGTATTGGCTGGTGGGTATACCTACAGCACATATTAAAAGTGATGGACTGCTGGCATCCATGATTCATGGCCAGCTTTCCAAAGGAATGAAAAGCACCTATAACTAGCCATCTGTAAGGCAGATGATTAAGAACTGTACTGCAAGCTTCAGTAACAAACATGAGCACGCTGGGCATGTAATCAACATCAAATAGATATTACGTCGAGACCTTTTCAGGCAGCCTCAAGCACTTACGTAGTCAACAATGATAACAGTAATTTTAAAAGTGAATGAATGGGTACTTTACCTGGCTGAGACAAAAGCGGTGTGTAAGGGACTTTCGGTTCTATTGCACTCATTGGTGGAGGTAGCAAAGGGTTAGCAAAGCTGCGGAGTGGATGAGTTGGTCGAACGCAGGCCGTGGGGATGGTTCTGCTTGGTGCCTCCTCACTGCTGGGATGCTCTGGTTGAGAAGGGGGCAACATGGGTGGTTGTTGGGTGGTTGGTCCTTCACTCACCGCTGCAGTGGAGACAAGAAAAGCCATTCATTATTTCGAGACAGAGTATGTTTTCCCTAAGTCACCTGAAGGGCCCCCGGATCAATTCAGAGAGATATAACAGGATCTGACCAATATCTTTTCCAAATTGTGACCATTCTCATTCCTCCACCCACATATATTTATGGGATATGATAGCACTTCCCCTTTAAACAATATAAATAGATCCAGCAGGACAGAAATTTATCTTTGGGAAAGAGTAGTAAAATATATTCAGCACTGACAATATTGCCTGAACTGTCTGGTCCCTCTAATCATAAGTGATGAAGCGAGAAAAAAGAGTTATTTCTCCTTTCCTAAGTAGCAATGTAAGTGAAATTCAATGTACCAAATGCTGTTACAGCTGCATTGTTATCTACCAGCCAATATGACAATTTTTCTGTGATTTAAACATGCCATGTCAACTGTCAAACAAATCAGAGTTACAGGGTGCTTGGAGGCATTGCTAATAAAATGATACAAATAATAACCACTATCATTATCTTCCATAACAAAATAGAGGCACATCTAGCTAAAAAGTTATATGAGAGATGACTCTGCTGGAACAAGTTGCCTGAATGCAGAATTGCAATTTTTCCTCTTTGGTAGTAAACCTTGTAATTTTCAGGCAGATTACTATAGTTGAAGGGTTCCGCATAGTCATTGTGACAGCCTATGGGCATTTGGACAGCTTTGAATATGGAAATACATCTTTTTTTCCTAGAGAACACAGTTGAGTCAGACTAAAATATTTTCAGGGCAGTTTCTTTTGCTAAGGAGTGTTACTCAATTTCATTGATTCATATGCAAAGTCAACAGGGCTATGTTAAACTGCAAATGATAAGAGTTGCACAGTAGGTGTAAGTGTTAACAAAATAAGATTATTTCTGATGACTTCTTCCTTAAGATTTTGTTAGGCAAATTAAAAAAAAAGCAGCAATAGAAGATAATATCTTACTTTCACAAGAGAATTTTTAACCAGGAAATATTTCAAGATAATTAGTGAGATAATTTTGAGATAGCTCTCTGGGAGGCTCGAGAAGGTCAGCAAGGGCAGAGGAGATAGAAAGAAAATCTGATAATGCTCAAGGGAGTAGAGATGAAAGATACAAGAGATCGAGACGTAATATTAAAGTTACACAGCAGTGAAAAGTGTCTTCAGAGGGTACCTGTATTCATTCTTCCATATTCAGAAGAGGTCCTGGGTCATTGAACCCCAGGCTTATTCCATTTAAACATGAAGGTGGGAAGATACAGGTTTGACTGAGGACGGGGTGTAGTCATATAGCAACCAGGGCCAAAAAGTAGGCAGAGACTTGATAAAAGATTTATTCAAATAATGCAGATGTAGTCAAGACAGCAAACTGGAGAGAACCCAGAGTGCACAGAGGAGTTTGAACTTAAGCGCCTTATCTCCAGGTTAGGAAATTCTATCAAAGAAGGAGGGGAAGGGCAAATGCATGCACAATCTCAAGGTTAAGGTGTGGGGCTTGGAGGAAATCATTAGGCAACTTGTTGGTGATGTTGGCTATCAGATAAGGGACCATAAGATGGGGGCTTTGAGTAGGTGTTGTAAGGAGCTAAACTGCTTATAAAACTGTAAAGGGGAGAGCAACACTTGCCTGTTTGTATTCAATTAGAGTTGTGTGCTGAGATTGTTGAGAGCATAGTTTTAGAGGCAAAGAAAACTGTGCAGGTTTTACTCTGGACTCATATTTAATCTAAAGGAGAAAATGACCAAGGATCAATTGTCCAAATAAAGGCTTCATTCTTAGCCAATACCCAACCTTGGGCATCTTTGTGCCACTGGCCTGAGAGTGATGGCGTGAGTCTTGTGCTCACTCCTTGTTCACGTAAGGAGGTCTGCTTCAGTGTGGGTCTCCTCACTGGCACTTCTTTCAAGCCACAGGTCTCAAAGGATACTTACAAAGTGATAGACTGCAGGAACTGCCTAAGAGGGAAAAACAGGCTCTTTCTGAAAGGGTGCTCTAGAGGTGATCCTTGGGATGGAGAAAATTATTCACCACAGGGGTTTATAATCTCATGGGGAAAAGTCTGGACAACTTAAAATGCTTTGGCTTCCACTTGCAGAGAGTCTCTCTCATTTCTCTGTGAACTGCATGTCTCACCCTGAGGTTCCTGAGGCTGCTTCTCTCTGATCCCCTTTCATCTCCAATGGGCTGGCTTTCATTAAAGGGTCCATAAAATCACATTTAAAAATATCCATCCAGGGAAAGAAATTTCATATTTTTCCTTAGAAATCTGCCTTATTTTTATTCTTTCTATTGCAGGTGGATTGTAATTAATCCACAATATATTTTAAAAGCTGCTTTAGCTATTAAAGGAACAATATATTTGTGATGTGTCACCTCTCTTACTATATTCCTTCTTTCCTTCATTTTTTTCTTTTTTTCCTGCATCTTCACAATGAAAGAGATCTATGTTAAAATATTGTTGTGATCACACATTTAATAAAATTCACATATACTTTTTATTCCTTTGAAATTCAGTCTATTTTGACCAAAACTCCATATTTCACGTGAATTCTAATGATGTCACTGAATTTTTTTTTTTTTTTGTGGTCCATTCTCAATCCTACCCACTTTTAATGGCATTGTTTCTCATTAGCATCTTTCAAAACAAAAATTACCTGCATGCCTAGTTCTCCACCCCCAGGTTTTCAGCCACTAGGGTCCCCACCGCAAACATCATGATGTGGCTCTTCTTGACTTTGAGGCAAGTAATGGTGGCTTGATGCAGATGGGCCAGCTCTCTTCTGAAACCCACCCTTAGGATCACACATGGTGAAAAGGAAGGTGCCAAACGCACTAGATGGGAGTGGGAGGGCCCAACCTTGGGACTGAATGCATCGCAAACCCATAAGGGACTGTTTTTGTTGTGTTCAAAATGAATACTATGGGCAGGTATAGGTTTTCTGTAGATAATTCATAATTCTTATATTTTCAGTGGAGCAAAACAAATGCTTTACAGAACTGGCTGACATTTAAGGCAGCAAAAACCCTTAAACAAACACAATAGCACCTGCCCCACCACAGCAATGTTCTCCTTTCAGATGAGCTCGTTTGGCCAGTTTAGGTGCCGGCTCCAGGACACCTATGTGGAACAAATTGGCTCTGTGACATGACATTTAGCTGTCCTAAGAGCTCTGAAAGCAAAGAAAAGCTCCTTTCACCCATGAAGCACAGCCTCCCTGCAATTCAGAGTGTGGAATGAGAATCAAATACGTGCTGGCAAGCCACTTGTTTTCAAATGATGAAACAGTCAGAATTCATCGCACGAATAGCGTACAATTACACGGCAGAGTCAGATCTCAAGGCACTTTATAATAATTACTGTCAACACACATAAATAATTGCTACAGAATAACTGCAAAAATATTGCAAAAATGGAAATGAGAATTTTTCTTCTATCTAAAACTACCATATTTGATAGAAATATAGCACACCAATAATTATGAGCAAAGATTTGAATAACTGTAGGAACCCAATTTACTCTTTAATCTCAGAACAGCATCATGCAATATTCCTGAGTAATCCCAGTTCCTCACGGCCTGAATTTCTGACAAGACCCTAGAGAATCATCCCTGGACTCCACTGCATTACTGATTTTACCTAGGTCGATTTCCATTTGTCAGTCAATTTCCAATTTGGGGGAGAACTGGGGCAGAAAAATAGCATGGATAAGTTGACCAGCCTTCCCACTAGCTAAGACAATGTCTGAACTGAACGGAATAGTGAAACTTGCTTAATTTTCTCTTCTACCACCTACCTGTTTCAAAGATAAGAAAATGGTGATAGAAATGAGCCCCCCAAGACTACCTGTTTATTGCAGTTTTCAAATACAATACTGCTCGCTGTAATAGGTCATTTGCCTACTGAGGCTAAGAGCGGAACTGCAGTTACTTAGTAGGAACAGGAAATATTTGTCCATCACAACTATATAAATCTTTGTGTCACCAAATATGTGTAATGGAAATGTATGTAGTATATCTTTCCTTTCCTTATGGTAAGAGAGAAACCTGCTTTATTTGTGCCTTCAGAAAGCAGCAGACCTTTGGGGCAGGAGTATAATGATTCATTTCTTGCACAACTCAAAGGTCTATCAGATAACTTTGGAGGAAGGAGAGTCTTCACACTTGGCGAGTCAACTTTTTTCTTTTCCTACGTGTGTCTTTCTCTGTTTCTTAAGGTGACTAATAAGACATCTCTACCCAGAGTCATGAAATGTTTTCTGCTTGAGCAAGAATAGGGATGTTTAGCGTTCTCTAAGACATTTAGAAACCAATACTGGATGGCTGCCAGTTAACTGTTTCTGACAGTGACTTAGAGAATATTTAGTTTCTTAGAAAAGAGGGTGCTTATATATTTTTTCCTTTTCTAAGCAATCACTTGCAACACATTTGAGATTCTATTCCTTTTGCATTACACACAGCTTTGTTCAAAATATACTTGATGAATGACTGAATATATATTTTAAAAACCTATAAAACTTGGCCAGGAGTGGAATGTCCATTGCCTTGTGATTTTAGATAAAGTTCAAAAATGACTAAGCACTTTGTCAAAAGTCTCTTATTTATATAACTTGATGCAATAGTTATCTATTTTATATTTATGTTATATAATAGTTACATAATTACCTTATTTAATAATTCTTTTAAAAGCATTTTCAAAACAAAAAAATCTACTGAAGAAACTAAATGTTTTAAATTGATTAATTAATTTTAATAGACTTTATTTTTTAGAGGCATTTGAGGTTCATAGCAAAATTGTGCAGAAGGTACAGAGATTTTCCATATGTCCCCTGTCCCCAAATACCCACAATCTCCCTATTGTAAAAGTCATGTACCAGAGTTGTACATGAGACTAAATATCTTTTAACCACAGATAAACACAAATTTTATACTAGCCAGTTTCTTTTATTCATTTTCATCGAACTTTAACTTTTGGAATCATTTTCCCTGTAATTCAATAGGAGACAGTGAAACTGTCTGCTGCGCCAACTCAAGAGAAAAAAAGAAAGAGTAAATGGGATGTTGGACCTCAGTGAATGAATTTTCCAGAAGAGGATTATGCTTTTAAGGAAGGAAAAGAAATGAGGAACACATCATGAATAAAAATAGTTAATTACTAATAAAAAATGTAGTGAACTTTGGCTCCTATCACTCATGCTAGAGGGACCAGATAAAGGTCATTCTACAGATACTAAACTAAAACCAAAAACTTATCTTTTTTGTTAGGAAAAGTTCATTTCACAAGTGAAGAAGAGACTTGTGAGTTCTGAATTCTTTGGCTGGAATCACAGTTCTAGTTGTCTTGAGATTTGGAAATTTTGGGTGGTTAGACTTTCCACATCTTTCTCATTTAATCCCCTCAGTGTGGTTTGGGGGACTATTTTTCCTTGAGTTTTTGCACACAACTCTATTCTGTAGATATGATGCACAATGAGAAAGAGAAAATAAATCTAATTCTCTCTTGGCAGATCTTTGATGTCTTTTAATTCTAACCTTGCTATATCTAGACAATTTATGATTTCTTAGAACTGTCCCTGTTGGGTTGGAAAAATATACCTTACCTCACAAATATATTTTATTGCTGTTACCACCATATCTATTACAAAACATCCTATCTCACATGAGCTGCTGAGTCACCTGTTCTTAACTAAGAGATGAAAACTATGAAATGGATTTTAAAATACCATGCTCAAAGAAAAAAAAAAAGTCGAATGACATGGGAGAAATCAGCGGAGTGTGTATAATAGCTTGAGAGTCTCTTTCCATTCCCACCTTCCCTCAAATAGATGAAATACTCCTCTGGAATTTTTTTCCCAATAATTAATTTTTAAAGCTAAAAAAGTATCACTTAACCAATTAAAGAAATCTAAAGCATCCATCCAAGTACTGGTTCATCAGAAATCAATGAGACACCAACAGATACTAAATAGGAACATATTAGAAGATATCACTAGATTATTAACTTCCTAGTTAACAGGATGTATTAATTTCAAGCACCCACCATATCACTGTTTTATGAAACCACTCGTCCTTTGTTTCCCCACCATTTCCCCCCACATTGTCAGCTGTGTGTGCTGTGGAAAGACTCCTAGGGAAACAGATTAAAAGCAGATGAGCTAGGAGCCAATGAACTATGTTGAAAAATTGAATTCTAGTATCAAGGTCATAGGTAAATCAATCTTTTCATGGGATAAGAAAGTCAAAGTGTCGCACATTTGACAAGAGATCCTGGCTATTATTCATTTGTTCTTATTAAAAAGAAAGGAAAATACATTACACTGACTTCTTCCTGCTCCGAAACCTCGGTCCACTGACAGCGTTGGGAATGGCACCGGCCGGAGAGTGAACTGCGGGTGGGGGTATCCACACGTGGGAGATGGGAGGATCCCTGGGTACTGGGCACTTTCTAGGGTTGGCACAGGGATGGCGCTCACGACAGCTGCAAAAGAAAGATGTTAATGTTTTTTTTGAATCTTATGTATCCACCTAACAAGCCAAAAGGACATGGCTAAATTTTCAGAACCTCAAATCCATGAATTACTCTTCATGGATTTTACAGGTTCCCTTACTTACCTCTTTCCACCCACCTCCCTTTTTGCTTTAGAAAAGACAGCTCTCTCCTCAAGCATCTTACTGTGGAACATTAGCCTACAGTTTGAACATTCCAGGGGTCCATACAAAGAAACAGTTAATCAAGTTACCATAAATTCACCTCAACATTTTGGTGTTTTATTTTATTTTGGTCTTGGTCTTATTCTTTCTTCTAAGGATGAACTGTGGCGATAGAAATGTTAGGTTGTTCACAAATCAAATATACTGTGTAGAGTAGGGTGAAAAGTGTTGGGAATTTTCATTAATTCTGTAAAAGAAGGTATTGCTGTTGAAAGAGAGTCTGGACAGAGATGCAAAGTGTATTCTCAGTAGTCAGACTTAGGATTTATCTTTAAATAAAAAATACCTTCAAATAGCTAAAGCAGTTGCAGGTAAGTGACACATTGTTTTAAATGTAACCAAGTGTTTTTGGGGAATACCAACTTTTTGTTTTAGTTACTTGCCTGAAACCCACAGATAAAACTCTTAGTATCTTCTATTCAATTTCATTATTCAGTAGCTATTCAATTATATCATATTATGAAATGTTTATTCCAATTTTAGTCAATCTTCAACTTATATTATCTTATAAAATGTTTAGTTTATCTCTTATTATCAAAAACAAAATTTAAGCCAGGGAGTGGAATGATCAGTTTTAGCAGTATATTCCTGTCTATGAATTGATGAAGTCATTTGTTATACATGTGATTTGTGTTTAGTTATACCCTAAAGCCAATCACTAGAGTTCAACATGCACATGCATACATGCATATTTACCAAAGGAAAACCTTTAATTTTGTAAATATATTCCTTACTTCATAAATAACATTATAATTATAGATATAAATCATATCACACTATTATGAATCAATGAGAAACAACATACAGATTTTTTTTTATATTTTCTAACTTAAAATGCAGATTAACTATATTAAAAATACAGGGCTTTAAATTAAAAGGGCTGCTTCTAGTAAACTACTTTAAAATTGCATTCCAGAACTTATTTTGTACTATATTCACAATATTCCTTGAAATACATATGAATATGTTTATTTGAATTGAAAAACAGAGTCCGGCTTTTTCAGATAAAAAGTTTTGATTGACTGCTATGACAATGAAAAGTGATTATGATGGCTATTTCCCATAAATTGAATAAAGATACAAATTATTTAACAAGATAAAAACATTTAATCAAGAAATTGCTTTAGTAAAGGTACATTATAAATGATATTTAAATTTTTCCAATTCTGTCATTATTTTTTTACAGGAAATAATTGTTGGGTTTTATTGAGTTTTTGTTCTATCACAATTTCTTGCTTTGGAATGTAGTATGATGACATTAATAGAATATTTTATAATACATTTTACTGTGTATATTTGAGGTTTGCAACAGATATTAAGGGATACATGTAGCAGTTACTATAGTGAAGCAGATTAACATAACTATCATTTCGCATAGTTACTTTTTCTTGTGACAAGAGCAGCTAAAACTACTTATTTAGCAAAAATTCATAGTATGGTACAATTTATTAATTTTAGTCCTCATGTTGTATATTAGTTTTCTAGGCTTGTTCATCCTACGGCTCTACTATTTGGTATACTCTGACCTATATCTTCCCATTTTCTCTCCCCTCTCCACTTGTAGTAAACACTGTTTCATTTTCTATCTCTGTACATTTGAGCTTATATATGTGTGCATGTTTGTCTGTGTGTGTATATGTGTGTATCTATATCTCTATCTATATATTTTCCACATGTGAGATTGTTAAAATGCTCCTAGAATCCAGAGCAATATATAGATTTAACAAAATCTTTATCAAAATTCCAATGGCATTCTTCGTAGCAATAGGAAAAATCCCCTAAAATTAATATGTACCCCTACCCCCCCCCACAAACTGAATAGCTAAAGCAATACCAAGAAAGAAAAACAAAGTTGGAAGCATCACATTTCCTGATTAAAAATTATATCACAGAGCTATTGTAATCAAAACAGTATTGCACTGGCATAAAAACAAAGGCAAAGACCAATGGAACAGAATAGAGAGCCCAGAAATAAGCCTAAAGATATATGGACAACTAATTTCTGACAAGAGCACCAAGAAGACACCATGGAGAATGGCTGGTTTCTTTAATAAATGGTGCTGGGAAATATGGATTTACACATGCAAAGAATGAATTTGGTCCCTTATCTTACACCATACACAAAAATTAACTCAAAATGGATAGTAGACCTAAATGGAAGGGCTAGAATATAATTCATAGAAGAGAACACAGGGGAAAAGCTCTTCGGCATGGACCTTGGCAATGATTTTTGGGGTATCACGCCAAAAACTCAGGCTACAAAAACAAAGATAGATAGATGGGACTACATCAAACTAAACAGCTTCTGTGCAGGAAACAATAAACAAAGTGAAAAGGTAATTTAATGCAATATATTGTTATACAAGATGCCTCTAAGTGAAAAAAAAATCTGCAGGTCTATTTTGTAATTACTTGATAAGTCTTGGTATAGCTTTTTTGGTACACCTCCTAGAAAATCAGAAAGTAAATAACTTAAATAAGTAACAAATACTTTTGCAAATCAGGTAATTTCTAAAATTTTTCCCACAGCATAATTGAAGGAGGACCTCAGCTAATTGTTAGTTGAAAGATTACTAAAAATAATTTTGAATGAAAGGTCACAGTATGATTTTCACATATAATTAATGCAATTAGTGTACAGAAAAAGCCCTATTCATGTCACTGTGATAAAATTCCAAAAAAATATTATTTTATATACAACTGTGCAAAAACTCTAATTGCAATGTTAACTACATCCAGAAGAAAGAAAATTAACAGTTAAAGACTTATGGTCACAGGAAGTAACAACATAAAGTAAAATTTTGGTTTGTAAAAAGTTTATGCTGCAAAGATATTAGATAAATGATCGATAAAAGACCTTCAATCATAAAAATAGATCACAATTGCATGTTATTCTGTGGGGAAAATGAATTGAAGATACTAGTTCTAGGAGAAGAATAAGTGATGTAAACTTTTCTCTGTTAAAGAAAGAAAAGAGGAGCTTCCTTATGTATTTTGTGAAAGTATGATGGTGTATATCAAATCACTACAATATTTTTATACAATGGATTTATTTAAAAGAATTGTAAAACCAGAAAAGTCTCATCTTTCACAGGTATTTAAGTTTAAAAGGTATTTTAAATGTTAAATTTAAAACGTATGAAGGGACACATAATTTTTCTGAATTGTTTTAGGGAGCCCTTGAATGAAAATTTGAGAATAAATCACAGCTCAGTGCCTCAATCAAGATATTTTGTAAAGAGTAAATTAAGGATAGAAAAACACATGAACAGACTCCAAAAAAAGAAAAAATTAAAAAATAACAAGGAAACTTTTAGATAGAATCAGAGCTTGAAACCAGATACCAGCCAAAATGATTATAAATTCCTTAAAGAAAGAGGTTATAATTTTGTTGTCTTTGTGTTTTTCCTAGTACAGTGGTAGAGATACTTCATATTTTTCAAGTGAGTTAATAAGAAGGATTTTCTAGAAGTAACATTTAGAAATCTGTCATTTTAACCCACTGGAGACTCTTTCAGTGGTTTGAGGTATTATTTAGTTTCCTGTGGTGTACAGTTACATAGCTCTAATAATAATAATAATAGACTTAAGTACATTTGTAAATAAGAGCCATACTATAGCATAAAGTCTGTTTTTATATAACTCAAATTCCCAGGCTCTGAAGAAGTCAATTCAATTATTTCACCATCTTACTGATCAAATGGGATCACTGCATAGCCATTATGATTGATTGACAAGTTGCAAAGCATCCCCTGTATTGACAATTTCTACTCATAAATAAATGGGACAACGATAGTGTCCTTTAGATTTGGAAGGTACTCACTCCACGAATTGTGCATACTGTATTTCCTTATCAACATTATTATATTATTATAATACAAGCAATAATACAATTAACGAGTGTTTTGCAATACATTTAGAAAAACAGTTTCATATGTATTTTTTGGTTCAGGGCCAAATAAATGTAGCTAGGGAAATATAAATCATTTGGTGAGCCACAGAATCCATAAGATAGAGAACTGAGAGAACTCAAGGCACTAAATTTATATTCTAGTTCCAAGTCTTTCGTTACTGAAGAAAAAAATTTTACTCTCTAATAATTTTGCATTTTGGCTACTGACCTGATTATAAAGGGCTTTCAAACAGTAAAAGATCTTTAAAAAAGAATAAATCTATTATGTGTTTTTGCATCTCAAAAATGCTCATTATTTTATTTCTTGACATGAAATAGAATAGTTCATATTCCAAAGCTTTGGTCTTGAAATATTTTTATCCATGATTCATTTCTGAAAGGGCACAGAAGTCTACATTTACTTATAATAAAAATAATCTCCTAAAAAAGTAGGATAAAACACTATATATTAAAGTATCTTTTGGTATTTCCCCCTAGATGTCAGTTTTGAGATACAGACACACACACACAAATACACATGCACACACACACACACACACACACACAAATACTTCAATATAAAGCATTCATTGCACTGCTATGTTTATGTAAAACAGCTCAGAGAGCAATATTATCAAGTATTTTCAATAAATCTCTGCTCTGTGGCCAAATATGACAAGAAATCTGTTCTGACACAGCTTTCTGACAATTGAATTTATATCTGACACTGATGCACAAAGATTTTTCAAGTAGAAATTCCCTCACCAAGTAACTTAACTCCCTGAACAGGGCACTTTGCTATTTGAAAACTTTTACAACATTCTTTAAAATGTTAGCACTAAATGCTATCTTTAGGAAATCTAAAGTAAAGATTT